TATATATATATATATATATATATATATATATATATATATATATATATATACATATATACATATATACATATATAAATATATACATATATAAATATATACATATATACATATATACATATATACATATATATATATATATATATATATATATATATATATATATATATATATATATATATATATATATATGAATATATATGAATATATATGAATATATATGAATATATGTATATGTATATATATATATATATATATATATATATATATATATATATATATATATATATATATATATATATATATATATATATATATATATATATATTACAAGAATCTGGACAGTTCAACCTCTGCAGCATGGATTCTTGTTATACTTAAATAGCAGTATTTGATAAAAACTGAACCCAGGTTCACCAGGGCTCTTGTTAATTAAAGTAAACTTTTTATTATATATCATTCTTAAATATGTCAAAAAATGTGCAACAAAATAGTAGGGTAATTATAATTAAGAGTTACATTTCAGTTCTGTTGAACTACATATTCAATTTTCAGAAAGTACTGGCAATGCTGTCATTATGTAAAAAAAAAAACTTGTTCTCCACATTTATTCAACAAGCAACAATGCAACAATATGTATATGATTTCTTTAAATGACTAAATTAGAAAGGACAAGAAAATCTTACACCCAAGAAATGAGTTTCTGCTGCATACAACAGGACGGGCAGCTGGAATAAATATGGCAAGCAAATGACCAAAATATAAGGTTTTAATGGAAATCTAGTTTGTCAAGAGTTAAGGCACAATTAAGAAGAGCAATACTATAAAGTTCTTGTTAGCAGGAATGATTGTAAAGTGTTTCCAGAGATCTTACTTCTAGTCACAATCTATGAAATTATTGGAAATATATCCTTTATTGTACCATATTCTCCTGACAGTTTAGCCTCTTTAAATATCATGTTCTACTCTACAGCAGGTTAAAACATGCAATACATATTAAAGAAATATACTTTTATTTACAATATCTCACAAGAAAGGAATGGAAGGGAGGGAGGGATATGAAGATAAAGAGTGAAGGATATGAAAAGGGGAGAAAAAGATATAAAAGAGGGAGGGAGGAGGGGACAGGGAGAGGGAGGGAGAGAGGGACAGGGAGAGGGAGGAAGAAAGGGAAAGGAGAGGAAGAGGGAAGATGTGAGAGGGGGAGAGGGAGGGAGAATCTGAGTAAGCACCACCTCTAGGGAAACTGGTATTCACCTATGGGTTGAATGATGAGTACTAATAATCTATTTTAAACAATATCTTCTTTAGCAAGTAATATAAGTGTGTGTGTGTGTGTGTGTGTGTGTGTGTGTGTGTGTGTGTGTGTGTGTGTGTGTGTGTGTGTGTGTGTGTGTGTGTGTGTGTGTGTGTGTGTGTGTGTGTGTGTGTGTGTGTGTCAAGTATGGGCATTATTACAATTAAGAGATTAAACTTTTAGAGGCAGGGGGATTAAACCCCCTATTCATGAAAAATGCTATTTTTCAGGGCAAAGTTGCAAAAACTGTTTATAAATTAAGCTTTAAAAATATTGATTTCATAGTAAAAAAAAAAAAAATAATAAATAAATAGATAAATAAATTCATTAATTTTAACACAAAAAGAAATGGAGTGAATTTATATTAAATCTATTTAATGAAGAAGAAAAAATATTATTGCTAAGTATGGTATTAATTTTAAATATTTAAGGTTAAGGGAGTTCATGTATATTTGTTTTATTGAAATATTAGCCTGTTATTTTTTTTTTATGCTATAAGCCTATACTTGACTAAATTTTTTGGGGGGTAGGACAGAATAAGTTCTGAAGAGGAAAATCCTCCCACCCAATAGTTTTACGAAATGATGTCCCTGATAACATTCCCTATCCTTAAATAATTAATATGTGTATATAATCTTTTTTTCTAAACATGTGCCTTTCTCGGCGTAAAATAAATTGTCTTTGTAAATACTTTTCTTTATAATATACTTCTAATCATCACTATGAATTGAAAGACCAATATCTGTCAATGCACTGAATCTATCAGCCTAATTATTAGACAGTGCAGTATTTGTTTACATGATAATACCTCTGAAATTATGGTAAATGGAGAAATACATATTATATACTTTTGATGTAATAAATTTTAACCCAATGGTGATGGCACCAGTTGATACTTCGTCATTTCATAAGTCTATGTCACAACTGCTGGGATAAGGTTTCAGGTGCCTTACAATGAGCTGAACAATTACCCAGGCATAGAGCAATGTGTTCTTAGTGTACACCCATCCTTGCTAGATTTTTCTGAAACTCTTACACATTGTTACTGTGTTAATTGGTTCAGTATTTAATGCTACCAAGAAAAAGAGGCAAAGAATTACATTTGAGACTATCACCATGGTGATCCTTGTGGTTAGATCCATACAGTGCTGAAGTGATATATATCTATAGGTAATAATTGCTGAGAAAAAATATAAATGAGCATCAACATATCTCAAAGAAAGAATATAAGGCCCAAAGACTTGTGGGCATCTGTTAAGATATGTAAGTTAGTAGGCATTAACAGCATCTAAACACCTTCATATTTTCTCATTTTAAGTAAAGTAAAGCTGCATTTACATATCCATACATACAGACATACATACATACATACATACATACATACATACATACATACATACATACATACATACATACATACATACATACATATATATATATATATATATATATATATATAAGCCCTAGTTTCATGTTAGATCAACCAGAATATTATGAACCATTCTGCCATCCACCAGATTGTCATTAACCCAATGCCGATGGGAATGGCATGAACGTACATGCTGTGAGTTTACTTGTTTAATTGTTTTCAAACACAGATGGCTACACTTTTACTAAGTCACCAGTGAGCCAATTACAAGTATTGCCCATCTTGCCCATTTACCTTGATTTACAAAAACATTTTACATTATCTTATTTTGCTGTTACTAATGTTTATAACATTATAGTAATTATAATGTTTATAATAAAAATAATAGCATTGATATTTATGGTACTAGAAAAAAAAAAAAAAAAAGGTTTTCCACCAATTCAAGGAATGGTGAAATCAGGTAAGGTCATAAGGTCTACTAACTGACTACTTTGTAGCTAAGCACTAGCAGAGCCATCTATGTGCAGAGACATTTCACAAAGATATAAAAAATGAGCACAGAATTTTTCCCATTTTTTATTCTTTTTTCCCCGGCAGCATGTGGTTAATTGTAAAATTGAAAAAACTTGGTTACTGCAATGATGGTGCATAGGATACTCTGTACAAGCTAGGATAGCTGTGAATTGAAAGCATTTGAGCAAAGATTTTGGATCACACTACTGGAAACTAGTAAAAACTGAGATAAGCCTCTTTGTCATGGTAGCAACTTTTATCCAACCCCAGCACCCACTTACAATATTTATATATTAATCATAATATTATGTACCCATTTTATACATTAAATATAAATAAATCTGAGAAGTGTAGCACAGTGAAACCATACAAGTAAATAAAATATTAAAGTTTCTGAAAAGTGCAAAATACATGACTAGCATCTTTTACGAAGTATAGCAAATACTTGATACAGCACAACTTCAGTCCACTCAATGGAAACCAATTTTCTAAGAAAATGTGCTGGCAATAATGTTGTCCCTCAGAATGGTGATCACTAAACTCAGTGATTATTCAATTCTTTTCCTTATTTTGAAATTTTGAAATGGTAAGGAATGTGACAGATCAAAATAAGTTAGTAAAAAAATGCTGAGAAGTGGAGAAAAGCAAATATCTTTCAGCTAGGACAGGTTAAAGCTGACATTTTTTCTCATTTGAATACTGATATGATAATCATATTACTCAAGTGTGTTTTTACATAAAAGACTATGATATAAATTAATGTCTTCCTTTCTCCTTATACTTCATGTACAAGAGAAATCAAACAAGAAATTTGTTCGAGTTGAAGGTCTTTCAAACAGATTCAAAAGTCATGAAAAATGCTGACATCAAACAACAGCTTACAAACACAGAGTAGGTTGCAAGTATAGTATACATAATATCTGCAGGTAATTATGAATTCAAGTAACATTCACAAATCTCTTCTGATAGCTGAATGCATGATGCAGTCTACTCATTAGATTGCAAACTTTTCTTAACCAGAGGTACTGCTTCTCTGCAGGTTTCAGCTGGCGACCCAGCTGCACTGTTTTGACTTGAGTTCTGTGCTGAATGCTCCGAACTTGTGTTTCCTTGGCTTTGTTGAGTAGTTCCTGGACTCTGTTGAGTAGTTCCTGGACTCTGTTGAGTAGTTCCTGGATTTTGTTGAACAATTTGAGAATAAGGAGGAGGAGTTGCATAATTAGACATATACATGGAAGTGTATGGAGGGGCTGATGTTTCATCTGTTGAACTGTATGCTGGGTTGAATTCTGAAATGTATCCTGGGTATGGAGGTGGAGCATCATCCTTTCCTGGTGAAGGAATGGTGACGGTCATTCCAGATGGAGTTTGAGTTACTGCCACAACTGTAACTGCTACTGGCCTCTCTCTTGTTGTGGCCTGCCAAACATCAAACTGAATTAAAGCTAGGTCTTCTAGTGTAAACTTCACTTTACCAAATCAGTATAATCTAAATCAATCCATTTTAAAGAAGAGTTCAAGATAATCATTTAGACTAAGTAACCCTTAATTTTATACAGTCTCACAAAAAGTGTGTACATATATATACTTTTTCAATCAGGTAGAAAATAGTGAAATTATCATATAATCAAATTGTTTTCTATACCCATTGGATCCGGTTCCGTTATGGCAATTACATCACCAAAAATCCGGGCATTAGGCTTATGTGACATCCATATTTGCCATTTGATTTGCATTACCCAGATGGTAATATTATTATTCTTTGCACAGACTAAAAAAAAAAAGGTTTTCCACCAATTCAAGGAATGGTGAAATCAGGTAAGGTCATAAGGTCTACTAACTGACTACTTTGTAGCTAAGCACTAGCAGAGCCATCTATGTGCAGAGACATTTCACAAAGATATAAAAAATGAGCACAGAATTTTTCCCATTTTTTATTCTTTTTTCCCCGGCAGCATGTGGTTAATTGTAAAATTGAAAAAACTTGGTTACTGCAATGATGGTGCATAGGATACTCTGTACAAGCTAGGATAGCTGTGAATTGAAAGCATTTGAGCAAAGATTTTGGATCACACTACTGGAAACTAGTAAAAACTGAGATAAGCCTCTTTGTCATGGTAGCAACTTTTATCCAACCCCAGCACCCACTTACAATATTTATATATTAATCATAATATTATGTACCCATTTTATACATTAAATATAAATAAATCTGAGAAGTGTAGCACAGTGAAACCATACAAGTAAATAAAATATTAAAGTTTCTGAAAAGTGCAAAATACATGACTAGCATCTTTTACGAAGTATAGCAAATACTTGATACAGCACAACTTCAGTCCACTCAATGGAAACCAATTTTCTAAGAAAATGTGCTGGCAATAATGTTGTCCCTCAGAATGGTGATCACTAAACTCAGTGATTATTCAATTCTTTTCCTTATTTTGAAAATTTGAAATGGTAAGGAATGTGACAGATCAAAATAAGTTAGTAAAAAAATGCTGAGAAGTGGAGAAAAGCAAATATCTTTCAGCTAGGACAGGTTAAAGCTGACATTTTTTCTCATTTGAATACTGATATGATAATCATATTACTCAAGTGTGTTTTTACATAAAAGACTATGATATAAATTAATGTCTTCCTTTCTCCTTATACTTCATGTACAAGAGAAATCAAACAAGAAATTTGTTCGAGTTGAAGGTCTTTCAAACAGATTCAAAAGTCATGAAAAATGCTGACATCAAACAACAGCTTACAAACACAGAGTAGGTTGCAAGTATAGTATACATAATATCTGCAGGTAATTATGAATTCAAGTAACATTCACAAATCTCTTCTGATAGCTGAATGCATGATGCAGTCTACTCATTAGATTGCAAACTTTTCTTAACCAGAGGTACTGCTTCTCTGCAGGTTTCAGCTGGCGACCCAGCTGCACTGTTTTGACTTGAGTTCTGTGCTGAATGCTCCGAACTTGTGTTTCCTTGGCTTTGTTGAGTAGTTCCTGGACTCTGTTGCGTAGTTCCTGGATTTTGTTGAGTAGTTCCTGGACTTTGTTGAACAATTTGAGAATAAGGAGGAGGAGTTGCATAATTAGACATATACATGGAAGTGTATGGAGGGGCTGATGTTTCATCTGTTGAACTGTATGCTGGGTTGAATTCTGAAATGTATCCTGGGTATGGAGGTGGAGCATCATCCTTTCCTGGTGAAGGAATGGTGACGGTCATTCCAGATGGAGTTTGAGTTACTGCCACAACTGTAACTGCTACTGGCCTCTCTCTTGTTGTGGCCTGCCAAACATCAAACTGAATTAAAGCTAGGTCTTCTAGTGTAAACTTCACTTTACCAAATCAGTATAATCTAAATCAATCCATTTTAAAGAAGAGTTCAAGATAATCATTTAGACTAAGTAACCCTTAATTTTATACAGTCTCACAAAAAGTGTGTACATATATATACTTTTTCAATCAGGTAGAAAATAGTGAAATTATCATATAATCAAATTGTTTTCTATACCCATTGGATCCGGTTCCGTTATGGCAATTACATCACCAAAAATCCGGGCATTAGGCTTATGTGACATCCATATTTGCCATTTGATTTGCATTACCCAGATGGTAATAGTATTATTCTTTGCACAGACTCCAATCATCTCTCCAGGTAGTCTACAACTCAGTGCAAAAAAAAAAAAAAAAAATGTAACATCATGTTACTTTTGCTATTTCTTAATATTTTTACATAATATTCAATTCTCTATAAAACAACCTACGTCACTACTCATGGCACCAGGAATACGATGTTGAGCATGGAAATGGTGTCCTTCATGGAGCTGACACCACTCATGGGCATTTCATTCCACACTCATACATCAATGGGAATAATGCAAAATCACCAAATGAGTAAAACAAACCTCCCAATAGGTTTGTGTACTTCTGGCAAGTTTTTTCCATCAGCCTGCAATGCTCATGATGGTAGGTCTGTGTCACCTGGCCTACAGCCAGATTTTCCAGTGACATCATGTCATCCACCCCTCGATCCAGATTTTTTCATGACCCTGATGATCACATCATCCGGATCCAATGGGTTAATAAATAATAAAATGCTATTTATAGTAATTAAATTAATATATGTGAATATGAGGTAAATTTACTCTTTACAATAATGTTAACCAGTTTTTTAAAAGTTCATGATTATGACTGTAATCACTGAAAATGTTTGAAATATATTCTGTGACCTTTTATGTCATACTTCACTATGGTACCTGAAATCACAATATTTCCTGCTACTGGTTGTAAAAATAAATAATATATACGGAAATAGTCTT